GGGGAGCGGGGGGAGGGAAGAGAAATCGGTAGTTTTGCACCTCCCTAGCTTCCTCTTTTTTTTACAACAGAAAATCAGCTGAGCTGCTTCCTTGGAAAAGTCTGCCCACAACGCGAGGGCAGGCCCCAGGGAAGGGCAAGGTTGTGCCTGTCCTTGTGCCTCCCAAACAGTGCAAAAGCCCCGAATTACATGCCTGGAGCTTGGTGCAGGATGGTGCTATCCACGTTGGTCCTTGAAGAATGATGGGGCACCCTGTGACGTGCCACCCTGACATGCACCCAAATCCCGCAGCCTGCCCCATGGCTGTGGGGGCCATCGGATGCTCAGGATGGGGAGGAGCGAAGTAAAAACGCCGGTATTGAGCACTGAGCTGTGATGACGCAGACCCCGGGTGACAGTTGAAGGAGACAAAGTGGTTCCGGCTGGCTCATCCCCCGGGGTGTCTCTTTGTGCCTCTCACCTCCACCCCCTCACTAGGGTGTTATGAAATAGAGGAGATGTCTTTAGGAGCTCAGGGATGTTCATGCAATGATGTTAATTGAGCAATGATAACGCTGGTCCCTGCCCTAATGAACCCCCTCACCCAGCATCGGGGAGCACTGCGGGGTGACCGCAGCCCCCCTCCCTCACTGAGGTAGAGGAATCAGGGCTATTTTAAAGCCCAACACCCCTAGCTGGGACAGTGCACTTCCCCCACCTGAATTTCAGTATGACACCAGTATCATGCTCCTTCCAGAATGATCTGAATTAGGGAAACAGCTGCTTCCTTGCAATCGTCATTTAGCTGTCCTGTCTAGGGGAGATGGAGCTGGGGGGGCAATGGGAAGTTTGGATCTCAGCATCCCTTATGAAGGACGACCTGGTGTCATGGTTTAACCTCGGCTAGCAAGTACCATGCAGCTTCTCGCTCATGTCCCCCTCTCCTGCAGTGGAGGAGGAGGATCGGAGGAAAAGACAAGGAAGTTGGGAATGCAGCTGCAGTATCAGAAGTGGAGAAAGACCTTGAATTGGTGCCAGCACCCCCCAGCACCAGCTAACAAACACCTTATCAGTGCTACTTGCAGGGCGAATCCAAAACATCGCCTCATACCAGCTACTGTGAAGACAGTTAACTCTGTCCTGACTCAGCCCAGCACATCCGGTGACATCGGTCCATGGGTACCAGCTTGCTCCTGACCGGCAACCATCTCCACGACACCCCTCTTGGGGCTGGTTCCCACATGTGGCCACGTTGATGCTTTTTTGTCCCAGCTGCCACATCTGTCTTTACTTGGAAACAGAGTTTTTCACCTCGGGTTTCATTCTGAACGTGGGATTTTCCTCTTTGGATTTTCCTTTTCTGGAAGTGGGTCTGATGAGCCCATGATATTACCCCTTGTTGGACAAAGCTGCAGTTATCTCCACCCACCCTGTCATGGGAGGGAGAGCTGCGTGGGCGCAGGCGCTTACGTCTTCCTCTTGCCACCCCGACCCGTAGCAGATGCTGCGTTGTGGAGAGCCCCTCTCCGTGCGCCGTGAGTCAATGGATATCTTCTGGTGCCTGATGCTCGCTCTCCTCCTCTACCGAGAAAGTAAGTGCAAGATGCTCGTTTTATCTGGGTAGGGGAAGGGAAGGAGCCTGTGGGGGACTTGGGGTGGGTTCAGGGGCTCCCAGGAGAGTGGGGACAGGGCTGGTGTGCGTGGGACCAGCAGTGCAGGTGCAGCTCCATGGGGACGGAGTTTGTCCCAAGGATGTTGTGCAAACCAGGGTAAAAGATGCCCAGCATGACCTGGTGCTGGCTCCTAGCTCTCATGTTAATGAGTGAATGCATCAGGTCTCAGATCAGCTCGGTCTCAGTCCAGCTGCTGCCAGATGTGCACTGGCTGCCAAATGTGCTGTTCAGGGTCTGTTCCCCTGCATGTTGTCCCCAAGTTTTCCATGCCCCTGTGGTTTTGTTCAGGGGTATTTAGGGCTGTTTGGAACAGGAGCCACTTTCTGCCTCTTTTCAGGAAAGTGGAAACGAGCAGAGATGCTGGCTCTGCCCTGTCCCCCTCCCCACAGCCCTGCAGACAGTTTTACAGCTGGATGAGCCCTCTGGTGCCCTTATCTGCTATTTCAGCATAATTTCCTTCTTCAAGTTTATCTCCTCAACCAGCTTTTCCTTCCATGTGTTTGGAGATGTCTCTTCTCAGTGTTCTGGAGGCACCCCCACCGGTCAGGCAGGGGGGACCAGACATGCGGAACCCTGGGGAGAGGTGACAGCCTCAGGATCTGTTCCCTTTCTGGGAACTGGGGAGAAAACCTTCAGGCTGGAAAGCACTGATTTTTAAAATGAGAAGTAGCTAAAATAAGAGAGAAATATTTTCTTCCTTCTCAAAAGAGGGAAGATGCAACTGCACATTTGGGGAAGAGGCCACTCTTGCAAACTCCTCTTTGTGCTTTCATTTTGCACCTCAAGACTCTCTCCCTTGCACCCACCTTTGCATGGGGGTGTCCCGTAGCTGCAGGGGAACCTGGTGCCACTGGCTTCACGAGCCCTTGGGGGATGTGAAAGCACAGGTCCTTCTGAGGGACCTCAGCCCAGAGCCTCAGGAGCTCTGGTTTATTTGAAATAAAAAGGAATCCCCTAATTCCTGCAGTCACCCCATGATGGAGTTGGGGTGAGCTGGCCACGTGCACCGACAGCCCAGCCAGCCTGGGCTGCGGCACCAGCAGCATGGCCAGTGGGTCAAAGGACATGGGGCCTGCCCCTCTGCTCCTCTCTGGTGAGACCCCCGGAGTCACAGAATCACGGAACAGTCAGGGATGGAAGGGACCTCTGGAGATCATCCAGTCCACCCCCCTGCCAAGGCAGGTTCATCTAGAGCAGATTGCACAGGAACACATCCAGGTGGGTCTGGAATGTCTCCAGAGCAGGAGAGTCCACCACCTCTCTGGGCAGCCTGCTCCAGAGCTCTGGCTCCGAGTGAAGAAGTTTTTCTTCAAGTACAGGTGGAACTTCCTGAGCCCATTGCCCCTTGTCCTGTCGCTGGGCACCACTGAAAAGAGTCTGGCCCCATCCTCTTGACACCACACTGTAGGTATTTATAAACATTGATGACATCCCCTCTGAGTCTTCTCCAGGCTAAACACACCCAGGTCTCTCAGCCTTTCCTCAGAAGGGAAATGTTCCAGTCCTCTCACCATCTTTGTAGCCCTCCTCTGGCTACAAAGGTCTCTGCGTCTGGCTCTGGGGCCCTTGGGACAGCACAGACATGGACTACAGAAGGAGGGACACGAGGATGGCCTGAGGGCTGGAACAGCTCTGCTATGGGGATGGGCTGGGAGGGTTGGGGGGGCTCAGCCTGGAGAAGAGAAGGCTCTGGGGAAACCTTATTGTGGCCTTTCTGTACTTACAAGAAAGGTGGGGACAGACTTTTTAGCAGAGCCTGTAATGACAGGGCAAGGGGTGATGGTTTTAAATTAGAAGAGGGGACATTCAGACCGGATCCAAGGAAGAAATGTTTTGCGCTGAGGGTGGTGGGACGCTGGCTGAGGTTGACCAGAGAGGACATTGATACCCCATCCCTGGAGACACTCAAGTTCAGGCTGAATGGGGCTCAGAGCAACCTGATCAGTAGAAGATGTCCCTGCCCATGGCAGGGGGTGGACTGGATGGGCTTTAAAGGTCCCTCCCAACCCAAATCAGTCTGTGATTCTACGACTACCCACAGCTGAACAAAGGTTCTGTGTGCAATAGTATGGGCGGCCCTGGCAGCTATGGATCAGCCTGTCCGTGGCATCACGCTGCGTGATCGCAGCGGGCCGAGGCTTTTCTCTTTGGCCAGAGACCCTTCCCTGAGCCCTGCTGCCTTCTCCACTAGCCACCCCCCAAGTTCACTGAGCCCTCTCCCCGGGTGCGCTGCCTTCAGCCCAGCTTTTCTCCCCAGCGTGTGCTGGTGACGGGGCAGAGGTGTCTGGGGCTGTGGGCAGGTCCGTCACCTTCAGCCTCCAGAGCCTGGATGGAGGAGCCGCAGCCTGGAGCTTTCACAACGACGTCATAGCAACCGTGAAATTTGGTGATCCTCCTGAAGCCACGTTTTTTGATGACAACTACAAGTTGCGCTTGGCCTTCCCTGAGAACGGCAGTGCTCTCACCATCTCCCAGCTGAGGATGGACGATGCCGGTACCTACACCGCAAAGGCCTCGGGGGTAAAAACCACCTTCACCCTACATGTGTACAGTAAGTGCCTTTTACAGTCATGGAATCGTTTGAGTTGGAAAAGACCCTTTAGATCATCAAGTCCAACCATTAACCGAGCACTGCCAAGTCCACCACTAAACCATATGTATGGTTTATATACCATCATGGTGAATAGCATTTTAGTATTGGTCTTTGGGGTTTTTTAATGCTTTGTGTTAAATGGGGGGGGGTTGGAGATTTCCTGACAGTCCCCCTCTTCCCACAGGAGAGCTGGCGGTGCCAACGGTGACCTGCGTGGCACAGAACTGCTCGACCAACAGCTGCCACTACATGCTGCACTGCGCCGCATCCAGCCCCGGCTCCGGCAATGTCTCCTACGGCTGGAGCCTGGGGGGCTGGCCGTGGGGCGAGGGCCCCACGGTGCAAGTGGAGGAGTCTCCCCTAGACGAGCCGCCGTCACTGCTCACATGCACAGCACAAAACCCTGTCAGCAGCCGTAACTTCACAGTCACCTCGCCTGCTGCCCTCTGTGCAGGTAACAGCCACGGAAAGGCACAGGGGTGGGTGGTGGGGATGGGCTGTGTCCTGCTCCCAGCGGCTCTGCTTTCCCTGGAGCTGTGCCTTGGCATGCAAAGGAAGAAACATGGACCACTGGCAAGAGGCACTTACCTATCTCCCTGTTCTCTCCCCACGCTGCGCTGCCCGTGCTGCCAGAAAACACATCCCACCCTCCCACCGCTGGTGAGCTGCCGAACCACCTGTCCGTGTCCGGCCTCGCTCTTGTGTCTGAGTGTGCCTGAGCTAGCTAACAGCATCCAGCTGCCCCGGAACCTGCGCCTGGGCGGGGGGAGATGGGGAGCCTGAGGCCAGCATGGTGCATCTCCTCGCAAAACGGCTCACAGGGAATAGCCAGGCTTTCTTAGCATCCATGTGCTGTGCTCATCCCCTGAGCAATTTGGGGCGGGAAGGTGGGTCCACATTTCAGGATTGTCCCCCTAAAAGTCGCAGCTTGGGATGGGAGCATAAAACCAATTCGTGCAATGGCAAAGCAGAGCCCAGGATGGGCTGGAGGTGGGAGCATGGCTGCCCTCAGCCCACCCAGCGTTTCTCAACCCCAAAAGCCACCCATGAGGTCCCTGGAGTGTGAAGGGACACCAGCATGGGGGGCTGAAGAGGGGTTGGGGTGGGAGTCCCCCAGCCGCTGCTCTGCCTGCAAAGCCACTCGTCCTCGCGCAGCGTCGCATCCTTTCCATGTTGGACCATGTTACTGTGGAATTCGGGTCCCTGTGAAGCAGGGAAGGGCTCAGTGGGGTGTTGAAGCAGAGATGTGCCTGTTTCCCCCTGCTCTGATGCTGGGAAGAGGCAGATACGTTTTGGGATGTTGTTACCAGACCTTCTTCTCTTTGAAGGTACCTACTCCAGCAGACAGGCTGGAATCGTGGCCGCATCAGTGATTGGAGCTGGAGTGCTTTTGGCAGTGGTTATCTTCGTGGTCTACAGTAAATCCAAAGGTGAGCTGCTTCCCCTGGATAACCGTCCTGGCAGACCTGGCAAGCAGGAGGTGGGACTCGGGGGCAGGACACGGCCAGCTCTGGTGCCTGGCACCTGGGGGTTGCGGCAGACGGAGCTGAGGGGGCTGTTGGGAGGGTTGCTTTGGCTGCCACTGCTGACGGGAGGCCTGTGTCGCTTATCCCCCAGGCTGGAGGATCTTCCGCTTGCCTGCAGCTGTGGCTACAAACACAGGTAGGACACTGGGGCTCCACCAGGCATTTCCCTCCCTCCCCCTTTTTCCTGATGGGAATAGCCTGGTTGCATTTAAGACCAGGAGGGAAATCACCCACCGCCATGGCTGGGTGCCAGACCGTACCCTGGCTCTGGGACCCCGGGGCCTCCCCGCACCTCCCAGCCCGCACTCACAGGGGCGAGCGAAAGAGGACGATCTCAGGCGATGTCGTGGTGGCTGAAGCCATGCTCTCCCCCAGCCTCTTCCTGGAAAACTTCATGCCAGGCCTCTGAGAAGGAGGCAGGAGTGCAGCCGTGAGATGACCAAAGCAAGAGGGATTTAAGAGAAAAGATACAAGCTGGCAAGAGACAACTTGGGGGGCAGACACAAGCAACAAGGTGCTGCGTGCCCCATGGCCAGAAACAGCCCTCTGTGTACAGCTCAAGCAACCGCTGCCTGCCACAGCCGCTGCCCAGCTCCACCAGCTCTTAGGGAGAGCGATCGGTAGCTCCGGGGAGAGGAAGCAGCAGAATGGT